TCTTGCCTTGTGGGTTTTTTAAGTCTTATTTGAAATTTTATTCTATCATAGTTTTTAGGACTGGTTTATTCCTTCTGTAGAATATAACAGGAATGCTTTTGTTTACATTTATTTTTGAAATTGTTGCACCAGCATAAAAACAAACACAAGTTCTTGAATTGTGTTTTTGTTTTGAAAATAAAAAAACTAGTTTTTTTTTTCAAATAAAAACAATTCACATTTGTAAAACAATCAAATGATGGTTTTTAAAACATAAACAGATTTTGTAGTAAAGATATTACATAATTTATGTAACATGATATTAAATAACCAGATGAAAACATAATCTTTAAATCAGAAGTTTAAGGACATGTTTTGGTTGGTGATGCCAATTGGCTCAGTTGGTAAAGTCTCTCTGGTTGTGGTTGAGACTTTGGGAATAAATCCTACTGACACCAGGGTTGGGGGGTTATGGGTAGGGGGACGGGCTACCCTCTGTGGTGTAGCCACATGAATAAAAGCATATTTTGGTTCTAATTTTTGAAACGAAAAGGACATATGTAACGAAGAACATGTTTTCTGTATTTTTTTGGTTTTGAGAACCAAATTGTTTTCATATCAGATGGTTTTGATTTGTTTTTGAAACTCACAACAAGAAAACAATTCACATTGAAGAACACTCCCTTCAATAACTACAACATGGTTTCCTTTTTGTCTTTTCTAGGATAAAGCTTGGAGTTAATTATCAATATGTGCTGAATACCAAAGGATCAACCCCTGCTGAGGTGTTGGGAATTGACTACAAAGCAACACTTAAACCTGCCCTTGATGAATTTATGGATAACATAAAGAAAAGCTCCAAGGCAAAGTTGGAGGAATTGATTTCTCTTCAACAACAGTCTGTGGAAAATGCTTCTAAGATTGAGAGCAAAAGAAATCGCCTTGCAGCCCTTCAATCTAGGATTGATGAGGTATGTTTTTGGGATTCCCATACAACAGGGCATGGTGTTTATTGGTTGATGTCATGAAAAATTTCCATTTTTCCTAGAATTTTGCTTAATAGATGCTCAAATTTGTTTTGGTTGGCAATAGGTTTTTTTGTGTTTATACCAAAACATGTTTCTTGTTATGTTTGGATAGGACCAAAACATTTTTCTTAGTGTTTTATTCAAATATTGATACACCATTGTAAGATCAACACGATTAGTTGTGAGGGGAGATGGTCACCGCTGAGGGGAGATAGGGACTGTGAACTCTGAAGAAGGAAGAAAGTGGGAGAGCTCAAATGTTTCGCAGAGGGTACCCCAAAAAACTCCTTGGGGAAGAAGGAGGTGGGAGGCAGAGAATTGGTATAGCCGAGGAGGGCCTGATGTGAGAACCAGGAAAACTTTTCCTACAGCAAAGCAGTGGCTGTTGGAGCTTGGCCAAAATATGGTGCAACAGAACTGAAAACTTGGAACGATAATCTGGTGGTTATCACAGATCAACAAGGGGTGGAAGATAGAAGAGAGTTCCTAAGAGGCTGCCTTATGGGGAGATTCCAGTGGAGAATAGAGATTAGAGAAGTAGAGGACTGGGCGAAGAGAAAGTGGAGAGAGGTGGGAGGTGTAAAGGTAAAGAAAATGGCGGACAAACTTTTTCTGTTCATTTTCCCGTTGAAAGCTGAAGCCGAATGGATCCTTAGAAATGGCCCGTGGCAGTTGGGAAGAAATCAGCTACTACTCAATTGGTGGGGGGCAAGCGCTGGCTGTTTCTATCCGGAATCAGATTCAGATTCTGTCCATAACAGTCCAATCTGGGTAAGGATTTATGGCCTCCCCCTAATCTTCTGGTGCCCAAGCGTGATTAGAGCCATCAGAGATAGGTGTGGGGGGTTTCTAGAAACAGACAATTCTCCATCGGAGCTAGCCACCTGTGAGTGGGTCAGGATGAAGGTGTGAGGTGGTGAAAATATACCGGAGAAAGTAGAAGTTGCAGCGGGAGAGGTTATCTTCACAATTAGAGTCTGGTCGGAGATCCTCCCAACTGCTAGAAGATGGAACTTATCGAAATCGGGGAGGGAAACAGAGGACTCCAAAACTGTTGTACTTTTGGATGTGGAGGAGAGTCAATCTTCAAGAGAAAATGCGAGAGAAGCGATGATCAGCTGCCCTATGTCAATACGAGGTAGGTTGCAGAAGTCTTGGTTGCCGGAGGGGGAATATGATCTGTCAGATCTGTACGCTGATGGGTGGCCGAGTTGGAGGTTTGAAAATACCAAAAGAGTGGGAGATTCAAATTTTAAACATTTCTCAAGAGAGGGGCTTTTTGGCGGTGGATCAATTGAAATGTCTAATTAAGGAAAGAGATACAAAGTGGAAATGGAGTGGGGTGGGGGGGGGGTTACAGGCCTACTCGAACCCAGAGGAGCAGATCCAGACCCGTGACCCACAACATAACTGGCTAGTTACCTATCCGATACGTGAAAAAGAAATAACCCAATCTGCAAAGGCCTTTGAGCCCAGACTTGATCGGCGAGAACAGGACAAGAGAGATCAGGTTTGTCTAGAGCCCCAATGGCTCATCCAACCCCAAAGAAGGTCTGGAGATTTCTCTCCTCCAGTTGCTCGAAGGTCTAGTCCTCTCTCCTTCAGGTTGGAGAACACAGAAAAGGAAAGCGGATTTGTTTCTACTCCCACCCAATCATCGCAGCAAGCTCTAGAGAGTCCAATGGTGACTTCAAACCAGCTCTCTTTAGTTCAGGTGGAAGAGGAACCTGTGGAAGTGCAGCTGATAGCCATGATTGAGTCAGCAAATCAAAAGGAGAACCAGTCCTTTGCTCAAGAGAGAGAGAGAAGTCGATGTCGAAGTTGGGAAACAGCCACAAAGAAAACAACGTCAACAAAGGAAAAGCTGTAACTCCGGCGTCATAGGAAGATAAGTCCTCTAATCTCCCCTCCTCCTCTTCTTGGGTCTCTTCAAAACTGCTTGGTTTATTGAAGTTTCTGGGAGTTTCTTTGGAGGGTCTGGAAGATGAAACAACTAAATTTTTGGAGGGGATTGAGCATAGGATTCTCATGGAGAGGAAAATTAACAGCAAAAAAGGGGGGAACTGCTTCAAAAAAATAGGGAAATGATGAGATTAAATTGGGGATTGAATGATAGGGCAGGGAGCTAGGGGGGGCAAGAGGAAGTAAGAGGTAGAAAGGAGGTGGATTTTCTGTTTCTTTTTTCTCTTTCTATTTAGTTGTTAATGGATCTAAGACTGTTCTCCTGGAATGTTAGGGGTCTTGGGTCGGGTAGAAGAAGGTTGGTGGTGTGTGAGGTCATAAAAAAAGCCAAAGCTCAAATTCTTTTGCTTCAAGAGACTAAATTGGAGTCGATGGATACAACATTAGTTCGAAGTATTTGGGGGGAGGGTCAGGTAAGGTGGAAGTCCAAGCCGGCAAGGGGCAGTGCTGGAGGCTTGGCCATCCTTTGGAACCTATCAGTGTGTAAAGTGATTTCACACAGGTTGGGTTCTTTTTCTATCTCTCTCTTGCTGGAACTAGCTAATGGAAGCTTATGTCAAAGTGACAGATGTGTACGGGCCTACAGAAACAAGCCTTAGAAATCTGTTTTTCAAAGAATTAGCAGAGGTGAGAGGCTCTTTAACTTGCCCTTGGGTAATTGGAGGGGACTTCAATATCACCTTGTCAATTGAAGAAAAAATGTTAGAGGTAGAAGGACAAGAGGGATGAGCTAATTTGCTGATTTTGTGAACAATTTCGAGTTGATTGATTTGCCGCTACTTGGAGGAAATTTCACTTGGACAAATAACCAGGAAAACCCAACCCTAGTCAGGCTAGATAGATTTCTGGTTTCAGTAAATTGGGATGAGCTTTTCCCTGATTTCAAACAAGTGGTTCGTCCTAGGCCAGTTTCAGACCGTGCACCAATCCAAATGATTTGTGGTAGTAGGGACAGAATTAAAGCACCCTTTAAATTCAAGAATGCTTGGTTTGAAGAGGCTGATTTTCTCCCTCTTTTAAGATCAGCCTGATGTGAAGTGCAGGTGGAAGGTTCTAGCTCCTTTGTTTTAGCAAAAAAGTTAGGTACAATTAAGTAAGAGTGAAAATCTGGAAAATGGAAAATCATCTGAATTCAGAAACAGAAAAAAGAGCTTGCCTTAGCCTCATTCAGGAAATTGACAGAGCAGAGGAAGTGGGCCCAGTTTCAGAGGAGTTAAGATTGAAAAGAGTTCAGGCAAAATCTGTTTTTGATAATTTGGCAGTTGAGGAATTAAAGTGGATACAACGAGCTAAGACAATCTGGCTTAAAGCAGGGGACAGGAACACTCACTATTTCCATAAGATGGCAAATGCTAGAATCAGAAATTCTTCAGCTAGCAAACTAATTTGGGATGATAAGGTTGGAGAATCTGTTGCAGAAATCAAAGTAATTGC